TTATCAATTTCTATAATGTAATATTAAGAAAGACTTTTTTGGGGTGGGGTGGGGGTTAATTTTTATTTCTTTCTTTCCTTGGTGTTTTGTTTTTTTAAATTTATTTAACTATAATTTATTCATTTTGAGGGAAAGTTCATCCTAACTTAAAAGATGGAACAAAAATTCTCAGAAAACATGGGGCCAAAGTATATGTGTAGTTTGAGTAAAAATCAATCCATGTCACTTGATAACCAGTAATTAATAAATCAGTTTTACATGATTTCTCGTAATTATGCGTAGAAAGGTTTGTAATCTATATAGAAAAGGAGAAAATATAACGCATTAAATTATATGACAAGTCTACATTGTAAATACATTCAACTATGGAAACCTATGTTATTGTTATACAGTACTTTTTGTAATGACAAAATGTACTGCCATAGGGGGTTGTGTATGGACTTTTGTTGCGAGGATAAACATGGCAGTGCATGTCCATAAAAGATTTATATTTTCTTTTCAAAGATTTGCTTTTGTATTATAAAATGCATGTTATGAATTATAATATCTAATAATATCTATTTTCATGAATGTAAATAAAGGAAGAAAAAGAACACTATGGAAACCTAGCTCTTTATATCTGTTCTATAATGCTTTTTGTTGGGCCAAATGCCATTAAAATCATCAGCCTTTGTAAGTTCACTTATTATTAAAGTAGTACTATCAAGGAACGGCATTGATAAAAAAGGGTGTTGAAGTTCTTTTATTATTTTCCTTAATCGGCAAAAAATATGAAAAATATAAAACAAAAGCCGAAAACTAAATTTTGGGTGGAGAGAAAATTGGCTTGAGGGGTAGTCACACTTTATAGCTTTTAAGCTGTGTATGATCTCTCGAAAATATTGGCTTTCTTTAGTAGAAATCCTTCTCTAGATTCAGTTTTTCCGGGGGACTCCCCCTCTAAAACCATTTTCCCGGGAAATACTTGAAGGGGGGGGGGTCTACCGTACAAATTCGGTACTTTTGCTGGTTGGAACAATGTTGAGGTCTACATGAATATTTTATGTGTTTGAAGGGTCGAAGAAGGTCTTGATTAAAACTATGTAAATTAAGATTTATGTCCGACGCTATCGACCCCCCCCCCCCCGGCCTGTGTATGACGAATGATGACCCTTATTGTCAACACACATGGTGCACGTTCTTACAGCGCACCGTAAGAATGACTGAAAACTAAAAAATGTGTTTCCTAACTTTGTTTACATCTCTTTTGTGGGGGATAAGCAAAACGTCCTTTATCGGATAACACATCGTCCTCGCAAGGTTAACACAGCGTCCTCTCAAGCTTAACACACCGTCCTCTCACAGTTAACACACCGTCCTCTCAAGCTTAACACACCGTCCTCGCAAGGTTAACACACCGTCCTCGCAAGGTTAACACACCGTCCTCTCACGGCTAACACACCGTCCTCGCAAGGTTAACACACCGTCCTCTCACGTTAACACAACGTCCTCTAAAGCATAGTGAAAAAATCATGCTTTAATTTTCAAAATACAATATAATGCAATCCCCCATCGTGTAACTAGTGCCAAACCTTATAAATATACCAAATCTTGAAAAAATATCTCAATTAGAAAGTATAGTCCTCGGAGGAAGGTGGGGTGTCATAGTCCTCGAATGGTCGGTGATGCATGTAAGGGTGTGTGTGTGTGTGTGTGTGTTAGACAACAGAAGTTTAAAAGAATAATTGGCAATTAACTGAAGTATTTTTGGTACTTTCGCATATTTTTAGCCTTTCAAAAGTTTTTGTCTTTTAAAATGAGTTTTGAATTTATTTTTTAAGCATGTCAGAAGAAGAAAATTGATGTCTTTTTATTTTATCACAGACACAGAGCTGATAGCACAGATAAGAAAAAACTATGAGGAATCTCTTGGTAAGCAAATAAAATCTTTAAAATAAAATTCAATCAGCTGAAATTCAAATATATCACAATTGCATTTTATGAAAAAAACATGCATGTGTGTTTTAAATCTTGTGCAATACTTAATTGCATACATATTTGAAATTGTAGGCTCTGGTGCTGATCTTGTAGAGATTGCAACAGCAGGTGAATGTTATATCAGTAATAGTTCTTGTATAACAATTTATTCTCATTAAACTATTAGTGAAGTACATAATATACTTCAGCAATTATTTATAGGCATATGAACTAATATTAAGGGGTAATTTGAGTATAAATTCCTCTTTAGGTCCATCTATGGGTAGTGATGGTCCAGATGATACATCTGTAGGTTAGTATTAATTCAAATTTTCTTTTACTTGCTACATCCATTCAACATATTTTAAACTGTCCATCATTAAATGTTACCCCTTTTTAGTATGAGATATTTTTGGTATATATTATCTGTGAAGTGAATATATATTGATGTTATTGTAGGTGAAAGTCTGGAAGAGAACACAAGTCTAACAAGTAAGACATCTCAAAGAAAATGTGGCTGTCAGTCAACCTCTGATAAGATATATATATCTCACAAAGTGTGTAATTTAACTAGATGTGAAACTCTATTCATAAGTTGAACATTTTCTTTCCATACTGAAAATAAACAATTACAAGTCAATTGATCAATAGCTGTTTAGAAAGATACTTCTATAACCATACTTTTTTAAGTCAACAACTTGATGCTTGGATGATGCAGCACAATGAATGCATATCATTAGACCCATTTTCAGAACCACAGTGCCCCAATAAATAAAAAAAGCAGAATTGCTTCAGCCTTGTTAAACCCATTTATTAAATATTTTGTCAGAAACTCAGTTGTTCAAAAAATATTTAAATTGCTTATATTTTCCCAGGTGATGTCGAGGAAAGTGGTACATGTAGCAGATACATGTTTTGGACCAAACCAGCGACTAACCTCCTCATATCTTTATATGAGGAGGCTGAAAAAGAATTTGAAAATCCCAGAAAGAAAAAGAAAGATGTTTGGAGAGAAATCACAGAAAAATTAAATGAGGCTGGATTTGAATTTTCGCAGTTGAAAGTCGAAAATAACTGGAGAAGTTTGGTACAATCTCACAAAGATTTAAAAGAGAGCAAAAAAAGAACAGGAGAGAAGAGGAAGACATTCCAACATTTCGAAAGACTTGATAATATTCTAGCTAAAAGACATGACATTAACCCACCTTTTACTAGCTCAAGCAATCAACTTGCTCCAACAGAAAATAAGGAGAAAGAAAAAGCAAGTACTAGTAGTGAAGAAAAAGTAGAGACAAAGAGTAGCAGCATCTCTGCAGTTCGACGAAAAGAAAAACGAAAAGAAACAGAAAAAGAAGGTAGCAGTTTTTTACAAGCTTTTAAAGAAATTGAGAAAGTAAGAAAACTTGAACGAGATGAAAGAGAGAAGAGAAGAGATGAAAGAGCCAAAGAGAGAAATGACCTTTTAAGGGAATTTCTTGAGATCTTAAAAGAAAAATAAATTGAAGGTACAGAATTCAGTGGCATCATATACTAAATGTAGATCCCTCGACAGTGTTTAATGATCTAATGATTCAGAAAGTAAAAATGATCAGTCTTTTCCATTAAAAACAAGAAAATCCACATATACGATTTAAGATAATCATAAGGATGGTTTTTCCCATTAATGGCAACAGATAGCTCTTTCTCATTCTTAATTTTAACAATTTCAGGGCACATCAACTTAATAGACTTACCACCTGAAGTTTTGGAGAAGATTTGCTCTTACCTTGAACAGTTCGAAAACATCAATAAGCTCACTTTGGTCTGTAAAAAACTGAAATATTTCTGTTATCTTAGAAACACCTCATTTTCTGTTCATGTAGAAAACATAAACAACCTGTGTGGTGTATTTTGTATGCCAAATTTGAGGAAATTGACAGTGTATGGCATGTCTTATTTCACTAATGATGCAGACCAAGTTAAAAGTGCTGAATTTGATGCATTTATTGACTTATTTGCCATGGCATCTTTGACAAGATTGCAGAGCCTTACATTGAGAAACTTCAGATTCCCAAACACTTTCTTGTTTTTTTTAATTGCTCTTAGCCACTTTCAGTTAACCTGTTTATCGTTTCACTTATGTAGTAAAATTTCCGTAGGAGAACTGAAATGTGTACTAGAGGGAATTCCATCTCTGAAGTATTGTGACGTAGAATGTGATGTTAGTTCAACTGAAGACATGCATATTTTTGCAGAAATTGCAAATCAATTTGTCGGGCAAGTAAATTTGAATCTGAACACATTAGAAAGAGTACCTTCTGTTTTGTTGAGGTACAATAGATCAGATTATCGTGCAGCTTGGCCAACTGGGCAATTACTTGATTCCTTGAAATAATTGTAAAATATTTAGTATGTGCATATATTCGCATAGCTTGTGTACAGATTTTTTTGAAATTGAGATGGTTGCAACTACTGTGTATAAAAAAATGGAAAAGATCATTTGCATATGATCTACAGGTATAAGTACACAAGGATCTGCCTATTGAAATGTTTTTTTAAAAATATTTTGTAATGTTTGTATCTCAGGGAGAGAACATTTATGCATTATTTTTTTTCTCAGGGAGCTATATATATGTATATGTTTACATAACAAGTCTGCTCCATATTTTGTGGTGCCATATTCTTTGCAATAAACACATAGCATTCCTCGAGATTGAATTGTATATAAATCGAGATTGGATTGTCTATAAAATTGTTTGTGATCTATTGTTTTTTTGTAATTTTGGAGGAAAAAAAATCCTATATTGTTTAATCCCAATGTTTTTGTTAATATTACACATTCTTTTTTATTGTTACTGATTTATTTTGTTGTTGTTGAGGAAAAACTATAAAACAGTTCTTTTTGTTTTGTCTGACTTAAACCAGATTCAATAATAAATTCTTATAAAATTGTGACTTTTTGTAAATTTTCCATTGTTTACCTGTTTAAAATGCTTAGTAAGTCAAGGAACAAAAAAACTCAATTGTGCATGTTAGGACTTTTAATAGAATTTTAAAAAAACTTTTCATAATTGCCTTGCAATATTAAGTCTTTTGATTGCTCCATCATTCAATGCATTTTGATCATAATTTTCAAAGAAAGGTAGCAGCTGGGGAACATTATTGTCCTCATTAACAAGTTCTTCGAACTCATCGTGATTTAAAATGCAGATGTTATGCAAAACACATGCAGTAAGTATTGTTCGTACAATGTCCGAGACATTTTTTTGGTCAATGTGTTTCAGACGTTTAAATCGACCTTTCAGTATTCCGAAGGCTCTTTCAACATTACTTCTAATGCTGCTGTGAACATAATTGAAGTGATTCTGAGCCTCAGTGAGATGACCATTGTCCCGAAACGGGGTTAACAGCCAAGTTAGGTTTGGGTACGCCGAATCTCCCAATAAATGACCCTCACGACATAGAGCTTGTCCATGTATAAACAAAGGAGAATTGTGGAAAATTCTTGCGTCATGAACTTTACCGGGAAATCCTGCAAACACATCAATGAAACGAAGGTCTTCCCGGACCACTGCTTGCAATACAACTGAGTAGTAGTCTTTCCTGTTGTAATAGTCGATACCTCTTTCTGCTGGTTTAGTTATTGAGATATGGGTACCATCAATCATCCCGACAATTCCTGGAAAGCGTTTTAGGTCCCAATACATGTCTTGGATTTCTTGTTGTTCTGCAACTGTTGGCCATGCAACTACTTTTGATAACAAATGATCGTGAATAAATGCTATTAGGTTGCGTATTGCATAGGAAGATGTTGACTCGCTCATTCCAAATCTGTCTGCAATTGAGGCATATTTATCTTGGCTTGACATAAACCAAAGAAACATCAGGATTCGGTCTGGAAGAGGTTTCTGGACAGTTCCTCCTGATGCTTCTCTACATAAAATTCCAGATATATTTTCCTCCAAGCAAGTCTCGCATATTTTTTCTTGTAAGCACTGCATGCTGACTCTTCCAATGCGAAAAAAAGTTTTGAATTCATCAATGCGGAAATTGGCTACAACATTTTCCACATAATTTCTTTGCCTGTGCCTGTTCTGAGGTTTTCTTCTCTGAGGATTCAGTTCTGACCTATGAAAAATACAATAATTTTTCATCAGTACATTTTTAACTATTTTGTCACTCTTATCAATAAAATCAAGAAAAAGTTTTTTTTTTCTATCTTGCGATAACTGTATTATAAAATTACATCAATATGACAACTACAGCTCTTTTACTGACAAGCAGATTTAAATAATCTGCATGAATAGGAATTCCACAAAAGTTATCCATTAAAAAGTACAGGGTTGCCACAATCGACAATTTCTATAATGTAAAGAGGTACTAATCAGTAGCCATTTGGGGGGGAGTATTATGACAGAAAGGTTTTAGCTGAACTAAGAAAAACTCTAAAGATCTAGGTGCTTATGTATACCTGTTAAGTAATGTACAAGATCTGCCGCATAGGCTGACGATATGAATTCCTTTGAAAACCCGTACGTTCATGCCAAGAATACTTTTATCTAACTGTCTAAGAAGCCCTTATGCACAGGGGCTTGTTCTCGAAGTATAAAAAAGTATTTATGAAAAAAATTGTCTATAAACTATTGAAACTAAACCTTGTATAATTTTAGTAGGTATATATTTTTTAAAATAAATATATTTTACACTCCGGGAGCAAGGCGATGTATTTGAGGCAGCTGTTTATATATATTTAGATACATGTAATTTTTATTTCTCTCTCTCTCTCTCTCTCTCTCTCTTACAATTTGTTTTTAACGTTCTTACATTGCCACCAAAACGTCTGTTAAATCATCATCTTCATCATCAGAATCACTGCTTTCATTCAAACAAACGAAAATAAAGTTGACTGCTTTTCTTTTCCGACTGTTTTCCATCGTTGAGCAAGAAACCGGATGTTGTCTTTTCGTTAAATTCAATAATTTTATCAAATTTCCATTCGACTGGTCATTTTGTATTAATTAATATTTTAGTTCTGCGCATGTGGGCGTGGCCTTATTTTAATTCAGGAAAAGTTACCAGTCGAATTCGGCAAATGTTAACTCTTAAAAAGAATTTTAAGAACTTAAGAAAAATAAGAAAAACATTCAAGAGTTAAAATCAGTATAAAAACATTCCTTTTTTTTCATAATATTGTTATTTATAATTTTTCTCAAAGAGTTTCGGTGACGATGACGTCATGTCGCGTCACAGCAGCATCAAAACAATAAGAAAATTAGAAGACGGTCCGGTTTGTGTCCAGATAACTGAGGTTAATAAGCAAATATCATATATATTGTATTTGATTTATTGGAGACTATGTAGATTAATTATTAATCAGGTCTACTGATTTTATTTTCATGTTTTTCTTCACTGTAGACAAGCATGCACCCGTGCCCTTCTGCAGGCCAGGATTTCCTCTGATATTCTTGACATCACAGAATGCAAATATAAGTAATAAACAACGATTATTCAGGGAACAGAGCGTTATGAATAGCATTAGCTCTGCTGGCATATTTTCCATGATTCGCATATGGAATATGCCAGCAGAGCAATTGCTATTCATAACGCCATGTTCCCTGAATAATGTTGTTTATTTCTTAAATATATTTACACTTTAAGCGGGCATGAGGAAAGGTGTAAACCCAGGGGGGAAAAGTGTGTAGATGAATGCTTTTTTATCATTATAACATACCACGCACACCAGATATTGGAAGATTTTGTTATACAGAAGAAATAATTAAGATTGTTATATCCAATGTACCAGAACTTTTTCATGCCAGTCTCTAAAAACTAAAAATCTGCCGTATTTATATCAAATTTCCTAAGAACACTCTCTACCCTGTACACTAATTTCAGGGTTCTTTTGTTTAATTAGACTGACATGCCATCTGATATAGAATAAAATAAAATGAAATATGTGCTGCATTCCATAGTCTTATTGCGTCAAGTATTATAATCAGTACATTAGACCAAGATAGCGTAATTTAAAACTTTATTTGATTGTATTTTCCCTATTTGAAAAAAAAGTATCTAATCGGAAATTTTCTTTATCAGACTTTCGTTGTCTTTACAGATTCTTCCTCATTTAAAAGCCCCCCCCCCCCCCCCGCCATGTCAAAAAATAAATTAGATTATTTTAATGTGTACTCCTTTACGCTATATCATTTTTTCAAAGTAAAAAAAATAAAACATTTTTCATTAGTGTATAGAGGATCCTTCACGCAGGTTATGCTATGGGGATTGCTACCTCATAGTGACAGATTTGAATCCCATGTAGAATTTATGCTATGCTTTCAAAGCGTATTTGTTCACGATAGAAGTATTAAAAATGCTGCATTATTCCTAAATATGCACACAATTAACAAAATGTTTGTTCTATAAAAAAAATGAGCTAAAAAAATGGAAAGCGTGTTTTTTATTTATGTGCTCATGTGTTTGTGTAAATACCGTTATCTGATTAGTCAGAAGGATTAGCACCTTGTTTATTTTGTGTATTTACTTGTATATAATTTACGGTTATCGTGTTTGACTTCCATCTATGGAAATCGTCCAGACCTGCTGATTGTTGACTAGAAATTCATAGTTATACGATGTATATAATAAAAGGTAGGCTGTGCCTAAGCTAATTCAGAGTGATTTGCAAAGAAAATCAGCGCTTTAAGGATAAGGAAAACAAGCAGCATCTCCTAGCATTCAAATGCATGGCGAACAGTTTTTTCTTATAATACACGGAACATCCTTTGTCTTTGGACAGATAATTCACCTGATATTTGTAGTGTTCTTTATTTATGATATGCCTGGAAAAAAATCATTTCGTTCTTCCGATTGGGAGTAGATTTATATTCCTGTCGTATTCGTAGTAATCCATAATACAGTGTAGCTCTTTTAGCAGGTTAATTTAGTCTGACGCCTGAAAGTATAGTTCCTTTGCAAGCATGTTCCTTGTCCAAAAAAGAAATTGTAATATATAACTGCAGTAAATAATGTCTTAAAGAATACTTGTTGAAGTAGTTTGAATGAATTCTAGAGAGATTAAAGTACATTCCAACTGATATGATACAGTGGTGAAAAATGAAATCTAACATTACTTTTCTCTTTACCATTTCTCCTTGCTAGTCACTTCCGTGAATAATTGACCATTATCCATTCACAGCTTCTCTGCATATCTCGCCAGAGCTACCGCTTGCTCTTCGGGTATAATTTGCGGGACACTGAAAAATAAAAGGTTCCGAACACATTAGTGGGGGAGTTTATAAAATTTACTGAGCTGGGTAGATAAAAGCATGTTGTTGGATGATGAATTTCAAAGTTTTGATATGATTACTTTAAAAGAATTCAAGTAATTAGAATTGCAGTTTTAACGTTAGGTGACGCCCGGAGCATTCTCCGACGTCATAAACGATATACATATCGTTACCAATTTGAATTTGTTCTTTTTTTAATTTTTTTTGGGGGGTGGGGGGGGGGGGGGTGGGGGGGATATACTATTTACCACAATCGAATTCTTTGAGTCAACATAAAGATTATAGAAATAAATGTGAAATATTTTAATTGTTATATGGTTTAACATTAAAATATACAAACATAATGTGTCCATATATATGTATATGTATTCAGTAATTATGATTTTATAAACTCTATGTGTTTCGTCTGCCTTCTCATAAGAAGTTGCACAGCGTCACATTTACAATAATTTCTTGACCGATTCTTCGGCTGGTTTTATTATTTTTTTTTTTTATTTTTCTTCTTAACATGGTTAGAAAAACCGAATATGCCATTTTAATATACTAAGGACCAAAATTCATTTTCATATGTACCAAAAATGTACGTGTTCTGCGTTTTTTAGGAGTGAATTCAAGTTCTGAACATTTTTTTTCAAAGTCCAGTGCGCCGCCTGTGTCAACCAGCAACCATTTTTCAACGTCAGCTTTCAAATACACAAAACGTTATGAAATTTGTATTTATCAAAGCAAACACAATAAAATTGGAGGAAAGGTAGTTAACAATGCAATATTAAGAATTTTTATTTCTGTTTCTGAAATTTTGAGTAGTGAATACTTTCTTATAAAATTTCAAATATCATATACCGATTTTCAAGTGCAATAATTGGGTACTGCGCCGTATTCTTAGATCAGATAAGAAAATAATGTATTTAAATAGGGTTCATTTGTGTAATTACTTAATGTTTGTCCATAAATTGGTTTTATATATGTACGAAGTTTCGCTAATTTATGACACTGGGTTCTTACAAAACTATGTTTGTCTTAGGAATTTTGGGACAGCCCTAAGATATCCATTAAACGTCTGTTTAATCGTGTATGCAAATTTTCTTTTCATCTAGCTCTGACGGAGGAATCAAATAAGGAAGGGAAAACACTTCTGAGTGTTCTGGATTTTGGAGGACAGTGTGCCTACTACGCTTGTCATCAAGTCTACCTCAGCAGAAGAGCTTTTTACATCCTAGTGATAGATATGTCAAAGTCATTTAAAGACAAGGTTGACAAGGCGTTGTGTAACCAGGAGGGAACCATGTTTGGTGATTGGACATATGGAGGTACATGTCTTTGTTAATCTAAACCATGCTTCAAAAATTCTGTCTAGAGACATGTTGCATGCCATAAGGATTTCTTAGCAATGCGCCTAAAGAATGAATGTAAATACTGTATACAGGGAACTTTTCGCCCCAGTTTTATTTTTGCCCCTTTCGCCCTAGACATAAGTGGACGAATTTAAGATGGGGCGAATTCAAAGAAAAAAGAATTATTTCTTAAACAAATCTGTGATCGGGCGAAATTAAAACGGGGCAAAATTGTTTGCAATTGTGAAAAGGGCGAAAATAATCATGTACATAGTATTTTGATATACAAAACAGCGTAAGCAAAATAAGCACCAGAATACAGCTGGCATAACTATCGGCATCTAAAAAAGGATCGGCATCATGAAATATAGTATATTTTTAGCACAATTGCTTAAGCCTTTTCTGTGTAAAAAAAAATCCTTGCAGTCATTGATTATCAGATCTGGAGTTTAATGCAATTTGCGAAAAAATACATTTTGGTCTTACATTCAATGCATTAAAACACTTCATGGAAAAGATGATGTAAGTTACATGTTATTTGAAAGATGAAATTTAGAATGTGCTAACAATTATCAATAATCTCAAATAATTGTATATATTCCGTGAAGGCAGATCAGTCAGTATGATTAACTTTATTTAATGATTCAAATATACCTATTCAAAAGGAATTTTACAAATTTAACAAAGATGTATAAAGGCGTTCGTTTTTAATTGCCAATCTATTATTACATGTATAGAATAATGGATAATAAATGATAATATTATGGCGTTTACTCAAGAAACCCTTGGATTTCCTGTATACATGTAAATGAAATAGTAACTGAACTGACGTTCATTTAAAACAGAATACCTTTTGTTCTGGATGAAATCTATCCATTTCTACTGTGCTAAGGATGTCCCCGTCATTCTCGTTGGAACTCATCTCGACAGGTCTGAACAACAGGTAAAAATATCACATCTATTCTGTAAAACATTTTATTCTTTTGTTTGAAGTCTACAACGGTAATGTACAAATTAGATATTTTTCCGCTATATTTTCTTTTAAAATATGAATTTGATTTTAGGCTCACTTTCATTTCATGAGTTTACAAGATGCTTCTAAAAATTGAACATCTGAATTTGGAAAGCACGTCTTGTTCAGTCATATATTGTCTATACCTCAATAATAATATACATAGGTGATAGACAATTAAGCTACTGCAAAATCAAGAACCTTGAATACAATTTAAAAAACAAATTGCTTCTTTTATGATACGTATATAACATTATTATATTATTATTCTATTATATTATATATAATTGAATCTATTATAAGTA